AAAAACCATATGTACCAAATGGTCATAAAATAACAACAGCTGCTAAAAACATATGTACCAAATGGTCATAAAATAACAACAGCTGCTAAAACCATATGTACCAAATGGTCATAAAATAACAACAGCTGCTAAAAACATATGTACCACATGGTCATAAAATAACTAAATATGCTAAAAACATATGTACCAAATGGTCATAAAATAACAACAGCTGCTAAAATCATATGTACCAAATGGTCATAAGATAACAACAGCTGCTAAAAACACATGTACAACATGGTAATAAGATAACAACAGATTCTAAAACTTATCTAACACATAGCCATAAGATAACAGCTGCTGAAAACGTATGTATCACACGATCATAAGATAACAACACTAAAAATGAATGTAGCAAATGACCCTTAGATACAATATAACAACAGAATTTGAAAAGTGTGGTGACCACAATATTGGCTTTCTTATAATACTTGTAATATATCTCCATATAATCAGAAGTCTACTTTCAACTTCTAGTTATCTTGTACTCGGTACTATGCCTACTTTCAACTTGTGGTTATCTTGTACTCAGTACTATGCCTACTTTCAACTTGTAGTTATCTTGTACTCAATGCTACGCCTACTTTCACATTGTACTGTTGTAGTTATCTGGTACACAGTACTATGCCTATTTTGAACCTGAAGTTATCTTAAAGAGATTACTTAGACTGTCTTTTAATGATAATAGAAGGTTTGTTATGCGATTTTCTGAGCAGACCTACGAGTTCGAATTAGTGGAATCTTAGTCTTCATGCATAGTTTGGGAATCACTTAGTAAACCTTATATTTTAATACTTACCTTGCCTTCCGTCTGTGATTGCAGTATCTCGCCTATAGGTTTCCTACCAAGACACTCTACCAACTCGTAAGTATTTTCAGTTGGACAGTTCAAACGTTGCGCCACCTGACGGGCATACGTGAGGGGGTCGCGTTCTAGAGAACAATTACACAATGCAGATCCGCTTTCCGCTATCACTCGGTGAAATAACCCTGGTGACAAAAACAACAAAAACCACAATAAAAAAGATTATACTAGAAATACTTTTCAGTTAACTTCTTTCGCTTCAAGTGCAGGATCTGGCAAAGAGCTGTCTGTGATGTGTCTACCATGAGAAAATTAACATGAATTTTACAGTTATAAGTCCTCTAGCTCACCGATATGCCTCGGAGGATAAGGGCGTTTGTGTGTGTGAACGCCATAACTCTAAGAGGAAAGAACCTAGAAACCTGAAATTTGGCAAACATACTAAGTGGATCCTGAGGGCGTGCACCTGAGTATTATTACTTGTCCACGTGCGCATCATTTTGTGAGGAAAGCTAGCGAAAAATTACATAAGAAAGAATATGTGACTGCCATAGCACCAAGAGCAAAGAACCTAGACACCTGAAATTGTGCATCCATACTGAGCGTGTGCACCTGGGTATCATTACTTATCTACGTGAATACGCACGTGTGTATCTTTTTCTGCGAAAAAACACACATAGTAAAAGTGTGTACGTGCGTGCGCGAATGTGCATTTTTAAATGAGGTAAGCTAGCGAAAAACCACATAGAAAAGAAGTGGTTCCTTATATTAAAAATAGAAATCACAGACAGACACGCACGTGTGTGCGTGTCTGTGTATGTATGACTACCATAGCTCCAAGGGAAAAGAAGCTAGAAACCTGAACTTTTGCTAACATACTAAGTGGACCCTGAGGGCCTGCACCTGGGTATTATTACTTATCTTATCCGCGTGCATGCACGCGTGCGAATCTTTTTAATGAGGCAAGCTAGCGAAAAGAAGTGAATCCTTATATAACAACTTCTAATAAATAGAAAAGACGGTGCGTTTTGGTAACAGTGCGTTCCAACAATGGTTTTTATATCATGTTGCTTAGCAATAATAGTATAACCTAATATTGCTGTTAAGAGAATTTGTGCTGAAATTATAAAATAAAATGTATAAACTACAAAATTGGAAAACAACAATTGTATTGTTGTTTTCTAATTTAGAGGCTTCGTTAATTAAAGAGGTTTGTTTTTTATTATTTAAGTTTAAAATCGGAGGACAAGTCAGAGTGAAAGTTACCATTATAAACAGGACGCATCCCATAGAGGAGCAACAAAAGGATATAGGTTATACTTTTATCTTAAAATACACACACTGACATAGTCGTCTAGAATAAATCAACATAAGAACCTGAGCGAAGACGGGTACTTTCGCTAGTATATGATATTTGTAAAAGTTGGAACAGCGGACAGTGTAGTATTTGTAAAAGGAGATACAATATGAAAACGAAAATACAGACTTAATATGACTTTCAGGCGATATAACGTGAATACAAGAACACTGGCTCACTCTGACTACCTGTTGGTATAATTTGGATACAAGAATACAGATTCACTCTGACTACCTGTAGGTATAATTTGGATACAAGAATAGAGATTCACTCTGACTACCTGTAGATATAATTTGGATACAAGAAAAGAGATTCACTCTGACTACCTGTTGGTATAATATGGATAGAAGAATACAGATTCACTCTGACTACCTGTTGGTATAATTTGGATACAAGAATACAGATTCACTCTGACTACCTGTAGGTATAATTTGGATACAAGAATAGAGATTCGCTCTGACTACCTGTAGATATAATTTGGATACAAGAATAGAGATTCACTCTGACTACCTGTTGTTATAATTTGGATACAAGAATAGAGATTCACTCTGACTACCTGTTGTTATAATTTGGATACAAGAATAGAGATTCACTCTGACTACCTGTTGGTATAATTTGGATACAAGAATACAGATTCACTCTGACTACCTGTAGGTATAATTTGGATACAAGAATACAGATTCACTCTGACTACCTGCAGGTAAAATTTGGATACAAGAATACAGATTCACTCTGACTACCTGCAGGTATAATTTGGATACAAGTATAGAGGTTCACTCTGACTACCTGTAGATATAATTTGAATACAGTAATACAGATTCACTCTGACTACCTGTGGATATAATTTGGATACAAAAATACAGATTCGCTCTGACTACCTGTAGATATAATTTGGATACAAAAATACAGATTCGCTCTGACTACCTGTAGATATAATTTGGATACAAGAATACAGATTCGCTCTGACTACCTGTAGATATAATTTGGATACAAGAATAGAGATTCACTCTGACTACCTGTTGGTATAATTTGGATACAAGAATAGAGATTCACTCTGACTACCTGTAGATATAATTTGGATACAAGAATAGAGATTCACTCTGACTACCTGTAGATATAATTTGGATACAAGAATACAGATTCGCTCTGACTAACTGCAGGTAAAATTTGGATACAAGAATACAGATTCACTCTGACTAACTGTAGATATAATGTGGAACAATAATACAGATTCACTCTGACTAACTGTAGATATAATGTGAATATAAGAATACAGACTTACTTTGACTACCAGGAGATATAATGTGAATATAAGAATACAGACTTACTCTGACTACTTTAGATATAATGTGAATATAAGAATACAGACTTACTTTGACTATTTTAGATATAATGTAAATACAAGAATACAGACTTACTTTGACTACCAGGAGATATAATGTAAATACAAGAGTACAGACTTACTTTGACTACTTTAGATATAATGTGAATATAAGAATACAGACTTACTTTGACTAACTGTAGATATAATGTGAATATAAGAATACAGACTTACTTTGACTACCTGTAGATATAATGTGAATATAAGAATACAGACTTACTTTGACTACTTGT